ATTACAGATGATCCTCTGTCCCAAGCAGTAGTGACCACGCTTCAGCTGCGCCTTCCATGTGAACATTCCCCCTCCCAGAAGTTGCCAATGTCTAAAGCAAAACAAATGTTCTCTGCTTCCTGGGAGATCGGGACTGGGAGGGAAGCATTAACAGGGCAGGGACCCCTCCTTAAAGCCCGCTTCATGCCACACATGTCCCTCCTCTGCAGATGAGAACCCCACCTGTCTGATACTAACAGCAGGAGACATGACATAGCACACACCAAGAGGCCTTACTCTGGCCTGGCCCTCAGGTGAGTGCAAGGCTTGGGAGGTGAACAAGATGATTGAAGACATTCAGATGCTTTCACAATTCAAGCCGAATATGTGAGTGTATATGTTTGCAGCTGTATTTACACATATTTTCACAAATACGCACCTATACAGAAAGACTGAGACAAAAAGAGATACACCGAGAGAACAGCTTGAGCTGAGAGAAGATACAAATAAAGTCATTCATTGCCAAGCAATCAAAAAGAAAATTTCACCAAATCTCCGACACTCAAACCCAGTGCTTCAGTGATCAGTAACTAGTCAATGTAGATTTGTGCTGCTTACCTGTTATCACCTGGGTTAAGTTCTTTCTAAGCTCTACTCTAACAAGAAAAAGCCCTGCAAGGTAGATCCGTGGATCCCCATTTTATTAGTATGGAAACTGAGGCTCAAAGTGCTTAACTACTTCATCCAAGATTAGGTAGCCAAAAAGCAGTAAGGTCAGGATGAAAACCCAGGGTTCTTTGACTACCAAGCTACTATGTTACTTCATGGAAGAGAGAACACCCAGAATGGCACCAAAATTGCAAACTAGGAGGTTCACTATGTCAGTCACTACTGACAACCCAGCTTACAGCCAGAGGGAGGCAGCTGGGTGTTGCTGGAAATGCAAGGAGAGTCAGGTGAGTGAGGACCCCCCAGAGCTTTGCTGGAACACCCCACAGGTCAGAGGCACAGAGGGAGGGCCCTAGTATTCTGGGGGCACCAGCTCAGGTGTGAGGGGGTTAGTTAGGAAGGTTCTAGGGTAGGCCATATGGAAGTCAGCCTGTGTCTTGAACAGCAATAAGAGTTGGGCTAAGGAAGGTGACATTGGAACCTCTAGATAGTCCAGGGCAGGAATGAGCACAACCTGCTCCTGGAGCCACAGGTGACGCGGGATGCCAGCTGGTCAGTCTGTCCCCTTTGATGAATTGCTGAGGCCTTTTTGTTAATCGTGTTCCAGTTGTTGAGGAAATAATTGTCGCATTTCTGAGACACATTTGCTACTTGTGCAGAGATAATGTAGAATATTTCACCATAAATAATCTATATCATCTTTGTCCCTACAGGATGTTCTGCAACAAACAATCGGGAATGTGCGAGGATGGTTTTTGAATCTGCAGGAAGAACACTGGTTTCCTCAAACTAAAGGAAGCAAGGCCCATTTCCTGCACCTCAGAAGCAGCACCCTGGGCTTTCCTACTGCTGTGAGCAGGACCAAGGGGCTCCTGTGGACCTCAGAGATACAAATCACCCTGCTTCCCCAGGGTCACCTCAGTAGGCTTTCAGACAAAGGGGAGAGTACCTGATGAGCAGTCAGGAGACACGGGGCTAGGGCGCCCTTGTCATTCTCACCCCCGTAGCACACACACACATGTTGGGGGTCTCCTCAAGTCATTTACCATCTCTCAGACTTAGTTTCTTAGTCCTTGGAATGGGCTAACACCTACCGCATGGGCCGTAAAAATTAGAGACAGCTCAGGGAAAGGGAGTAGCAAAGAACCCTCATTCTCCTAAGAGGGAGCTGCATAAATTGCAAGGCCTAAATTCTGCCCACTGGTCTCCCCCACCTACTTTCACCAAATGCTGCTTTGGCCAGGCCACTTTCTACCGCCTTCTCGCTTGCCTATGTCCCCATCACAGAGTTTGGGACAAATCCTCTCTGCTTCATTTGCTTAAAATTTCTACACAAAAATCTTGTCTCTCCAATTACATCAAAGCTCTCAAAGAAAGGTAGGGGTGAGGTGGGAATGAGGGGTGGTCTTCTGCTATCTGCTCAGATTCGTCCAGAGCGCTAAGCCAGACTCAAGCACACAGGGGTGGCACTATGGGAACTTAGAGTCCAAACTCAACAATATGCCAGTATTCTCTATAAACTATGTCTGGATGTTGAGAATGGGAAAGGTCCCTCACACCTGAGACATCCCTAAATTTAGCACAGACCTTAAGGTGTTTGTCCAGAATGCATCATCTTCTTTACCCTGGATTAGCTGCGTCATTGTTCTATCCCAGGAAGCTGTGTCATTGTTCTACCCCAGGAAGCCCCCCAATGTCTCCCAAGCTTTTTATACTTATAAAAAATAGGCAGGGATCTGCTATTTGCCTCCTTTGACAAAAAGCCAAGGTGTAGGAGGGCAGAGGAAGAGGCTGTAATAATTGCCTGGTTACTATATTATTTCCAAAATCAGGAATATGTTTGCACTAAAAGTACAGTGATTCTGGGAAAACTCCTAACAGTTGCCGGGACTTAGCTGCTCCATTCCCTACAGCAAGAAGCAAGGAACACAAAGGCAGGACGAGCTGTGTACCACAGACATGACATCTTACACAGCCCCGAAGCTGGGAGGGCATGCTTCCAGACAGATGTCCAGAGGGTACACTTAGCTCTGCCAGGCAGCTTGATGCCACATGCCACTCTCCTACACACGAATACAGAATTGTATGGGATAAGAAAGCTATTTTTTTTTTCAATATCCTTCACATGTCTTCCTGACTTTTCTCTTTTTTAGTGACAGGGAAAATCCTATGAACCTTCAGTGTGGCAACATCAGTGGCATGGTGCATTATACATGAAGCATCACTTTATTATCTCAAATGTTCTTCAGAGACTATATGAGATTTTGAAATGCAAAATCCAAGTGCATTATAATAAGAAAAGTCAGCCCTGTAAATACCAACTAAAGTGTCATAATAAATGTCTCTGTTTTGATCAAATATTACACATTTGTCTTTTTTAAACGCAGCTAACAGCACCCTCTGCAGCCCTCTAGTGGTTGGAAAGAGAAAGGCAGAAAAGGGGCATGGTGACTGGCTAACCAACTTTTACACTGGAAAAACAAGTGGCTTATTTTCACCAAGAAATAAACACGTTCTAAGCCGGGAAGATGAAAAGTGTTGGTCCAAAACGTGTATAATTAATTACTCCGAAGACTGTGATTCATTGAAATTCTGGACTCCCCCCAACCGTTTTCATCTTTCTGAGCTCCGCAAATTTTCCATGTGGACTGAGACCTTAGCACTACGTAAATACTCCAGGTCTTCTTCTCAAACAAGTTTTCTCTCTCCTTTCCTTACTTGTTGTGAGCTATCCTATTTGTGGAACCTACGTATGAATATATCATTTGCTCTGCTAAAGAGATGGAAATTCCCAAAGCAGTATAATACGTTGCCTATCATCATTTTCATGCTTATTTTCACCAAAAAAAGCACCCAGTGTCTTAGAATGAACTCTTCATATCGTGAATTATCATACTATGCTTGAGATATTTTCATAAAGATTTTATCTTTATGATAAAACGAAACTGCCTCTCAAGGATGTATCAGGAGTAAAAACTTGCTGAAATAGGACGTCTGCTTATAAAACAGTTTCAGTGTCATGTCGCTAAAAAAATGCTAAGATTACAGAATAAGCCAAAACTCCAATTCTCCAATTTATCTCTCAAGTTGCAGGAGAGACCTTCCCACCAGGGACGGTGAACTGGGGTTTCCTCGCTCTGGCCACTCTCATGCTCCAAAAGTAATTAAACCTGATAGACATTCTCCTTCCTGAGACACTGGTGCGCTATAGTTTAAAGTCAGCTGGCAAATTAGGTGGCCTTGGAAACCTCAAGGGAGAAGAAGAGCTTCTTCAGCTGCAGGGTCAACCCCCCACGCCCTCCGACGGCTGTCAGTCAGACAAGGTTCCAGTAACCAACTTCCCCCTCCTGAGTACCCGGCAGATTAGAACACAGCCCTCATCCAAGAGCACGTCCTCCTTGTCAACAGCGCAGAGAATCAACAAGTTATCACTGAACTGGGCGCGCCAGCCCAGACTAGCCGCCGTCTTTCCAGAGCCCACCGCCACCCCCAACTCTACCCCCAGCTCTGCTCCACCCCAGCCTCTCCTCCTACCACAGCAAGTGCGCGACCTCGCGTTTCAGGCCCGCCCTCCGGCGCCCCCATCCCAGCGCTTCTCTCAGAGCTCCCAGACAGCTGTCAAAGTCCGCGACTCGCCAGCCCATTTCTCTCCGACTGCACCAGGCGTTCGCTGGGATCCAGCTTCCTCAGGGGCGGTAGGAGTGCAGAGGTCACGACCTCCAACCAAACAGTGGGCGGGGGAGGGGCACCAGGTTGGGCCCTTCTGCGGGCAGGAGCGGAGTCGGAGAGGCCAGGGCGAGCGTCACATCCCGCACTTCTTCCGGACTCCGCGGTCCACCTGGAGGACGCGCGTTCCCAGGGGAGCTGGAGTCACCCCGGGAGAGCCTGAAGCAAGCCAGAGGGGGCCTTCCCTGGAGCCTACAAGTTTCCACCCCATCCCCGGCTGGAACGAGAGCTCTGCACTCTCGGTAGCCCTACAACTGATCCCTCCCTCCGGCAGAAGCCGACAACTGCCTCCCCTCCCCGCGCCAGCGCCCAGCTCTAGCCATAGCCGGGCCAGAGCCAGCGAATCACCTACTACACCCTCACGCCAGCAGAGACAAAGTTGTCCCGACTCCCCAGGGTCCTCAACCCCTGCTCCACACACAGAAATTGGGCTACGTCTGCAGGTGGAACCTGCAGGTCTAAGACGCAGAGCGCTTACTTCGGGGATCCCGGGCGCACAGATGCCGGAGAAGCTGCGGCGAGAAAGGGCGTGCAAATCGCGCGCGAGCCCGGGTCCCTGCCGCTTGCACCTTCAAGCCTGCCCAGCCTCCCTTCTCAGAAAAAAAGGAAACTTCCCCAGCACCCACCTTTTGCCGCGAGGAGGCGGCGCCGCCGGCTGCCCCCGCCGTCGCCGCTGCCGCTCCCCACGCCCAGCGCCAGCAGGAGCGGCACCCAGCACAGCCTCCGAGGCAGCATCCTCGCCGCCGCCGCCGCCGCCAACGAGCTGCCACCGCCGCCTACGGTCCGCACCGGCTCTCGCCTCCCGGTTGCTGCCGCGCCACGGGCTGCCTCGCCTTGCCCGCTGGGTGCGCTTCCAGCGCCGCCGCGCCCGACCTCCAGTACCCGCCGCCGCGCCGCTAGCTCGCCGGCAGCAGCAGCGCTCACTGGCGCGGACCCGGAGCGGCTCCGGCGCTCACCCCGGGACGGCCCGTGACGTCACGGAGGGAGGGAGGTGGCTCCTGCATATTCATGAGACGCGGACACCGGCACCGATTCCGAGCTCCCGACTCCGCGGCTCCGACCCCCAACTTTCTTCCGTGGTCCCCAAGCTCCCGGACACTCCCGCCCCAGTCAGGACCTGGTTCCCAGAGGACCCTGGTGAACGACTGTGGGAAGCCCTCCGCCAGGTACCCCACCTCCCCGACTCTCCGACCACTGCCTCTGGAGAAGATGGACTGTCACAAAAAGTGGTTACCTGAGACCTTGAGCGTGGTCTACGGGAGAGCAGGGGACCTTGCCCTGTCACGCCCTCAAGTAGACCCCTGTGGTGAGGGTGCCGGAGGGCTTTGCAAATCTCCTGCCCTTGGTCAGGTCTCTGGGAGCCCTAAGCCGCCTGGTCTGGGGAGGGCGCCAGCCACACGCTGGAGCTCCAAAACGCTAGTACTGCTCTTGAGTTGTCTGGCAGGGTAGATCACCAGGGACCAGAAGGGCGAAGGCTGGACAACGCACTGCCCTGGGAAAGCAGGGGCATTCACTTTTCTCAGAGGCTGATGGACCAGGTTAGAAATGGTAAACCTGGGGTGCTGGACTTACCAAAGCTGCAGTGGGGACCATGCATAAACTTCCCTGGAGTATAGTGCTCAGACAGAAAGTCACCCTGCTTATCTTGTCATTCTACATGTCTAAGACCAGGCTACCTGACATCATGCCTTGTAACACTCCTGCATGAATACTTAATTGTCAGTTCCCCGAGTGCAGGAGCCCTGCTTGTCTTAACGAGCCCCACCCACCAGGCCACAAAGTTTCCCAAAGGTACCCAAAAACCATTAACTGCTGACTCTGAAAAATAAGTCCTTGACCATATTTGCATATATGCAATCCCAGAGACACACGCAATTCACCATTCATAGTTAATACATAAAGAAATAAGATAGAAAGTAAAGAAATGAACAAAAGCTATTTATTAACCGATTCAATACATTTCCTGAGCACCTGAACAAATTGTACCATCCTATCTTTGGGCACTGGGGTAGGTGGTGTTAGAGGGCCAAAAACCACGGAGAACGTGCTCCTTGCCTCAAAGCCTTTACTCCCCATTTGAGAAGCAGGAGAGGACAGTAAAAGGCAATTACAATCCTTTGTAAGTGTTATGATCCTTCACATTCTTTATGTTGCTAGATATGAGCCTATACAAATCAATTACCAAAATGTATATATTGCAACACTGTCTAAACAACATCCTATAATTAATAACTAGCTTGGGGTACTCAACAAAGCCATAAAATCCATTAACAGTCCTCATGCCGCTCAGCCTCTCTGTGCTGCCATGGCAGCTCACCCAGAGTTGCTGCAGGTAGGCCAATTCTACTGAATTTCCAGGCATCCAGAGGTGTTTGGAGGGGAAACATGGTGAATCATGGCAGCTGCAAGGAGGCTCACACTTAGAGCACTTGACCAGCATGCAGCTCTCCTTTAACCTCCACGACCAACATCTATGTATTATTCTCAGTTTTCACAGAGGCAATGGAGGCTCAGGGAAGTTAGGTAATTTCCTTGCCCAAGGTCAAAGAGCTAAAATACACTCTAGCCAGCACCAGGATCTTGTCTTTTCAAACATAATATCAGGATCCAAAGAATGTCACGAGAAGGGGAAGATGACCCAGGTAAATCAGGGAAAGAAGCAAATAGAGAAGAAATATGATCTCATTTTCTTCCATCTGTATGCTCCATCCAATTATGTATCTGATTTCCCTTCATCTTCTCTGTTAAGTAGGCCTACCTTACGCACTTACCTGCACTGTCCCAGTTGATTAGCCCCAAAAATTTTACATGAAATTTCCAATGCAGACCATATAATGAGAAAGAAGCAGGAATCCAGCTGTGAAAGCATCTCCACCCCAGGTGGCGGATCATCAGGCAAGAACACAGCACAGCAGCTGGGGGCAGGTCAGTGACCAAAGGATGGCAGTGACCAAAGGATGGCAGTGCCAGTTGCTGTCTTCTCCTCTGCTGAAAGGGGGCAATAACTGTCCGTTGAGGAAGGTCAAGTACACTAGCACCTCCCCCTTTATTCCTGCCTTCTTGAACCCACTCCATTTGTTGCTTTCCTGCCCCAACTCAGAGCATGACTGTGTGGCTTCTTTTGACCAGCAGCTCTCTTCCTTTCCTGCCACCACCATGAGAACAAGCCCAGGGTGACCTGAAAGAATCAGAGACCACACAGAGTAGAGTGAGTCAAGGCCATGTGAGGCTGCTCTGCACGCCTGCCCCACCAGCTGGCCAGACACATGAGTAAACCTGCCCAGATAAACCCCTATCAGACAGAGCTGCCCTGCTGACTCATGAGAAATAATGATGGTGGCTGCATTCAGTCACAATGTTTGCAGGTGGTTGATTAGGGAGCATTCCCCCTACTTTGTAAGGTTATTATAAGAGGTATGTGAGAAACACGTTTGGGAAACACTAGGTTGATGGCACGTAGTCAGTGTGCAATAACTACAAAAATATCTCCTTCCTACCCCTAATTCCCAAATCTCTGAAATGCCTGTCACAACCATGATTTGCTTAGTTGGAGGGAAGACACCCAGGACCAAGATGGATAAGTTCAGTCTTGGAAATACTCAGGCCACAAGAGTTTTAAGACCCCACCATCTGTTAGGGGCACTGCTGTACCCTCTGGCTCTGACAGGCATTGCAGATGCCCCAAATGGGCAAAGCAACCCAGCGGTAGATGCATCCCCATTCACTAGGTGCCAGGCTTTGCCATGGGAATTTTACAGTCCCTCTTATTTACCTTACAACAGTCAGTATTATTTTCCCTATCTTCTTGTAACCAGATTACTGGCTCAGAAAGTTGGAGCAACTTAGCTATAATTGTGCAGAGTTTATGCTTGCCAGATTCCAAGGTCCATTTTTCTCAAAAAATTGATTTTGGGAGAGGCATGGAGAACACATAACAACAACAACAAAAAAGTAGTTTCAAATCAGAAAAATTGCTTTGTGAATTTGAAGGTTTCTTTCTTATTATTGTTGTTATATTTACCCACTGCTTCTGAATAATGAACATTTAAATAGCCAATTAGCATGTTAAAACTATAATACAAGTCCCTGAATCTAGTGAAACTGCATACTTTGTTTTTTTGGCTCTCAACTGGTATATGTTCTTTTAAAAACCCTGATCAAAAAATGATGATGAAGATGATATAAGGCTTTAATCATTTCAAGCCCCGTACCCAGGGCCCCACCTGGCAAGGTAATCATAAGTCACAGGCAATTTATTTGGGTCAATGGTTTTTAATAAACAAATAACTCCTCTGTTCCAGAAAATAGAATCTAACAGGAACACAGCCATTCCCTCTCACTTTCACCAGGATCATTAATGCTTCGCCCAATTAAGCATCAAAACACAACCCCTGAATAATTTAAATGGATAAATGAAGAAAATAAATAAATTATACCAGCGTATGGAAACTTATTTTTAAAAAGAAAATTAAACAAAAGATTCCCACATGACCCAAATATAATTCAACTAAAGTACTTAACTTTAAAAGGAAACTTGGAAACTTGATCATGAAAGCCCTGGAGTCAGTTGTGACATCCCCTTCCCCTTCTCCTGCCCCCCCCCCCATCTTGGCAGGCAAAACTGGGTCTTCATGACCCACCAGAAACCGGACAGTTTACAGAATTTTCAGCATTGCTCTCGGAGATGTTGATGCTACTGCAGACAATGTTGATCCAGAAGGAGCTTTTCTAAGTTTAGGTATTTCTCCTCAGAATAAAAGGAAGGCAGCTTGTTTGTGACCAAATCCAGTTGATGTTCCACATTGTTTGGACATGAATGTTTTATGCTTGGCAAGGCAGCATGCCTGGCTGGGAACAAAGCTGTCAGTGACTATAGCAAGGAATTATTTCTGTCCATTGTCCTGCACATCCTTGGACCTTTATACCCCATGGAGTTATTTTGCTTGTTTTTGTTTGTTTTAAACAGCCGTAACATTCAATGACACTTCTCATATTGAAGTCTGGAATCTCTGACTCCTCTCCTTGAACTGGGCAGTTTTATGATCATTTCTACCAGCAGAGTTTGGCAAGAGTGACGCGATAGGAATTCCCAGACTAGATATAAAGGCAATGCATTACCTTTCTGTCTATTCACTGAGAGTCTTTCTTTGAGAGCCTCTCATGTATGCAGTCTCAAGAGCCTTAGACTGCCATGTTGCACAGCTCCGGGTCAGGGGAGAAGGCCACATATGAGTACATTGACAGTCCCACTTGAGTCTAACATTTGGAATATCCTGGGACCACCAGATAATTCCCTGTCCTGGCTTCTGAGTCATGCCCAGCTGATTGGCTCTCCCTGCTGAGGCCTCAAGCGTCATGGTACAGTCAAGTCATTCTACTGTGTCTTTTCTGATCCAGAACTCATGAGTGTAATAAAATGATAGTTTATGACAATAAGATCTGAAGGTGGCTTCAAGAGCAAATAGAACATGTTTATTCTCACTTGCTCCCTACAACAAAACCTGAGAAAAGAGAAGTATGCTAAAGTAAGTCGTATGTGATTGTGTTTTGGAGCTGAAATGCTGAGTTGTAGTGGCCAAGAAAAGAAACCAATAGAGCTTAATAGAAAGAGACTAACATCTAGAATCAGACAAACCTGTATTCTAAACTCAGCTTTATTATCTTCTAACCATTTAGGACTTAAGAAAGCTACTTGCTCTCTTTGGACCTTAGTGCCTAATCTACAAATTAGAGTTAATGTAACAAGGTTTTTAGAATTAAATGAAATGTAAATATCTGAATCCTTTCCGGCAGATAATAGAAAAGCAGCAAGCAGAGAGCCATTGATATGGCTGCAGAATGTGGAATGTGTCTAGGGAAGAAGTCTCAGTAGAGATTGGGACAGCAAGGGACAGCAATAAACAAGTCGATCCTGGGAAG